GCGACCCACAGAGGCCGGCTGCGTTCCAGCCGGCCAGCTGCAGGCCTCCTGTGTCCCACCAGGAACCTCTCCAGCCCCGCCGGGGACTCCCTGCAGGCATAGCAGGGGGTCTTCGCCCAGCCCTCCTTCTTTAGAGGGCTGTGTTTTGCTATGGTCTTGTTACCGGCCCTATATTCATTGGAAATTATTTTTCCTTGTTTTAGAACTAGATGTTTTGTTGCTGCTTTTCTAACGCGCCTTGAAGGACCGAAGGCAGGAGGTCAGAGACGTTCGGAAAACGCCCCAGTGGACGTAAGACACTCTGGAGAGCGTGACTAAGCGCCTGCCGTGTGCTTCCTTCCAGGAGCACAGGTGTGGCTCTCACGCTGGCAAGCCGTGAAGAAGACATCATTTGGCCCACGGAGAAGTGTTGCTCCTCTTGAAGACCGAACAATTGCACCACCTTGTTTTTGTGGGTAAAGAGGCAGAGAGTGTTTTGGCAGCCGCTGGAAAGTGAAAACCATCCTGCCGCCCAGAGTCACTTGTATAGTGAGATGGGCAGCATATATCCATTTGATAAATAAATACATAAATAAATAAATCCTGGCTCCTTTCTTTCCAGGATTCCCTTGGGTTGGGAAGAATCAGAATCTGCTGCCTGATTAAGTCAGGACTGATTTACGGTTGATGAATGATGCTTCCAGCTGATCAAGCGGTTGAAGCGCAGCTCTTCAGGCCAGTCTTATTTTACTGGACAAACTGGGTCAGACTAATAAAACTCTTTGCAAAGCCCCGCCTGTGTTCTGTAAAAATTGGGTTGCTCTTCCCTTTTCTGGCTAAATTTTGTTCAACTAAGGAAGCAGCCCAGCCTTGTCCTGCCACGAGAGAGGCACGGGAGCGCTCCCGGTGCCAACTTCCTCGGATGTCAGTGAGAACTGGAAAACTCTAACGAGACGGTGGTCCTGGAAGCGTTTACATGCTATTGAGGCCGTGAAACCATCAGTTCTGGAGTCCTTCAGGAATCTCTGTGCGCATTCCCAGCCACAGGCCCCTCCACCAAGAATGGAGGGCTCAGAAAAGGAACCCCTTGTTTGATCTCCATTTTATAGGAGGCCATTTCTTCTCCTGGCACTTGTTACTCTTGACAAAGGGAGGACCGGTTGCCCCTTGCAGAGGTCCTCCGACACGGCTGGCTGAAAGTAGCTGGGAGTAAAAATTAATCTTTGTCCCCTGTTTATGCCATCAGGGAAGGTGGGCCCTCCTCCCACCACAAGCCCTCCTGGGGGGAGAGGTGAGAAGAGGGGCATCTTCCCCCTTGGAGCTTCTCCCGATTAGGAGAGATTGCGGTTTGGGCAGCCTCGCACCAAGAGCCACCCTTATCAGGTTGGCCGGGAAGGTGCCCTGCCTGATGGCAGTCTTTGCCTTTCAGCTTCTGCCAGGCCAGGAGAGGGAACGCTGCCCCTTCCTCCCGCCTTCCCTCACCTCACCTCACCTCAGCCCTGGTCCGTGGCGACTAGCTGGGCCAGGACTGAGGCTCCTAAACTGAGAGGAATCTGAGCTGGGGGTGTCCGGCTAGGAAAGGGTGGACAGAAGACTTGGTTAAGCAATGCCCGGCAGGCAGCAGATTTGGAGGAAGCAAACCCACGGGGGACTCCTGGGAAACTGAAGCTTTCTGAAGTGCATACGCTGATGCCTTGTGCTCTCCAATGGACTGTTGTGCCCAGTTCTGCATGATGCCACAAAGCAACGC